ATTTATTATTGTGGCGAGTTTTATAAAGATGGAACATTGCAAAAGATTGTGTTTTATTGATTGGTAGAGTTGATGTTGGACTATAAAGCAGTGTGTCAAAGTATTAAATAATCTTCCTCTCTGTTCTACCTCAGGCCAAGCTTAGAGGTTAAAAGGTACCAAGCAAATGAAATTATAAATCCAGTTTACATAGTTTCCCCAAAGACACTGAACTACTTCTTTCCTATTATGTCTAAATAAAACTCATTATCTATTTTGTTTCACTAATAATTACAAGATTCTCTCCAAGCTATTCTTTACTGTCTTCATTATTCTCCATCCTATAGAATATCCTTGAAAGGCAAGCATATAAATATGATAAAAGAATTAAGCTGTTGAAATAAATTAACTTATTGTGCAACAATGTATTCAAATCTTTCTTGTTCAATGGATTTTGCTTTAATGAAATTCTTCAAGGAACAATACATCATGTTCTAAGGATTGAAATTATACATTAAGTGAAATGACTGAATATGTTGTGTCTCAATTTATAAAGAGTTTCAATTGAATAATTAAGCTTTTAAATCATAGAATTTGCATAAAATATTTTCTTTAAATAAAAGTATTATGTATTGTCATAGTATTCTCTGTTCTTGAGTCTAAAACTACAATAAAGTCAAATAAGGAAAGCCAGTTAAATGTTTTAAATTTTATAATTCCCCTAGTTTTAAACCATGAGTAAAACTGTATTTTATGTTGAGGCTTTAGTCAATTTTTACGTAGTAATATGTCATTTTTAGAGTATGTTAAATGGATAAAGAAGTAAGTAAATGATTGATGAGTGAAATAAGTCAGCATAGGAGATTGCGACACACATATTGAATAATAGGATGTTTTTCTACTTATGTGAAATATGTTAAAAGAAACACAGAATGCTTAATATTGGCATATATAGTCATTGCCATAGTTTATAAATAAATACTTAGGTTTTGAGAATTAAATATGCACGAGGAACCATATTCCCTTACTTTCCATTAGGACTGTCTATGAACTTTGTAATGCCATGAAAGCCAGATTTGTCAATGATCTTACAGAAATTGATTTAATTCTAGATAGTATTTTATTTCCGTTCAGCCACATTATGAACAAATGCCATTGCAAGTAGCAACATGATGGTTACAGAACATATTAAAATGTACTGGAAACAATGATGTCATGTTTTGCAGAAGATATATTGGTTAATTTAGACGATACTATTTTAATAAAAGTCAACTATCATTCTCAAGTACAAATTCTATATTTTTTATATGAATAAAGTGTTAGCAATCTTATTGAATAGAAATTTATTTAAAACTCAGCCAGACTGGAAGGCCCAATCTGTCTAAATTAGGAGTTGCTTTTATTGTCAGTCATGCCTGTAGAAATAGACAGTTTTTTTTTTTTCAAGGTTAAAATCCCTGGAAGCCTCTGCGTGTTCTAACAAGTGTTCCTATGCCCAGTCACAGACAGGTGGTGCTAACTGAACTCAGGGTTTAAAAATATACAAAGTTGGGAAAGAAAGCTGCTGGAAGGATAGGGGAAAAATGGGGAGAGGGAAATGGGTATAGGTCTACCAAAACACTTGCTTGGAATTATAGACAATATTTATTTATTTTTAAGAAAGAAAAAATTACAAACAAGTTAATATTCAGTTGGGTAAATTTCAGAAGATTGGTCTGGTTATGGATGCAATTCATCTATATTATGTTTACTACACTAAGATATCCACATATTTTTCTTAGAAATTCTACAGTAATATTTCAAGCTCATACTCTATAATAAATACACAAATGCTGCAAAAGCAACTTAAATTATGACCATCGAATACTATATTAATTTAATGCAATTTTAAGTTTCTAAAATTTGATTTGAGCCTTTTTAGCATTACAATCACATCATTTATTCTGTCTTCCACCTTCTTCAAACCCTCCCATATACTCTGCTTCGCTCTCTATCAAATTCATTATCTTTTGAAAATTTGTTGTTGTTATATGCAGATAAATATATGTCTAAATGTAACCTGCTCCACCTGGTTTTTGTTGTTGTTGTTTGCTTGATTGATTATTTTCTTTGTTCCTGGCTTTTGTGTCTGCCTTTTGAAACAAGGTTTCTCTGTGTAGCCTTGCCTGTCCTGGAACTAACTCTGTAGAAAAAACTGGCCCCAACCTCACACAGATTCACCTGCTGCTAATTCCTGATTGCTGGGATTAAAGGCATGTGGCACAACTGCTTGGCTAACCTGCCTAGTCTGGATACTGTTATTCTTGTGTTTTCCGTGCTGACTCTTTGGTATTGAAAAATCAATTGATGATCTCTTCTCCAGGGAAGTCAATTTCTCCAACTCAGGATTTTCAGTTACCTGTAGTTCTTTGTTGAGGACTTGTGGACTTAACCCCTTCTGTTTTGGCAGGTCTATGTTGGCATTGTTCAGCAAATGCTTTGATCGTCATGTTGGTGAGATGTGATGAGTTTAGCTTCACACACACACACACACACACACACACACACACACACCGTATTGCTGATATTCATAGGCATCAAAGCTTGGCAGGACTGTCAGTTTCTCTCCACCTTTCGAGGCTTGCATAGCATCTTCTGGTACTATGAAGTTTAATACTTACAGAAGGGACACAATTGTGTGTATAAGACACAGCCTTACAACTAAGTCCCTGACGCTCTGCCTCTGACACTGTTTTTCCCTGTTTTGTTTGTTTATTTGTCCCCTGTTATAAAACAACAAACAAACAAATGGAAAAACCTAATTTACATAAACCTTTGTACAAATGTACATATTTAATACAAATGAAGTTCTCCTTTATGGACTGACAACACTTCTTCTAAGCCAAAGAAACACTACCTTTCAAAACACTAACAACACACATGAATAATCCCATGTTTGAGTTTTTGGTCAGGACTGTTAAAGAGACTCCTAAAACGTACAGGCTATTGCCCATTTTTGACCCTAGAGATAGAAGATTAAAAATCTTCTTGCTTAACATGCCATGCACTTCAGTGTTTAGAGGCCCTTGACTTGGAACTGATCAGTCCCCTCCCTAAGGATTAACTTTCATAGTATACCAGAAGGTGCCATGCAAGCATCCAAAGGTGGGAAGAAACCAACAGTCCTGACCAGCTTTGATGCCTATAAATTTGAACAATATGCAATGTGTGTGTGTGTTTCTCTTCCAATTTTCCCCATTGTTTTCTTCAGTGATTTGTTCATCTTCAGACTTTCAGTTGGAAGATCACTGAAGTTGAGTTGGAGTTTAAGTATCCTATATTCATCTAAATGGCACTCAGGTTTTCTATTAGCAGAAATTAGAGCACTCAATTCTTAGCATCTGATCAACTATGGCAAAGGAAAACGCTGAGATATAATGCGTCTGACAGTTCCTCTTTAATGTGCCTGTATTGTCTTTTCCAAAAGTATATCCTATATAGACTTGTTGAAAGCTCCTGAGGCTCAGCAAGTCATCATCACAGTAATTTCAGAGCCTTACACCTAGACTAGAATAACGATGGTGGTTTTCTTTTTGTTGTCATTGTTTGTAATCGTCACAACACTCTGTGAGGAGAGAGGTTCTTTGTTAGGCAATTTTGTATGGGATTGCCTCATGTTTTATAGGACACACATTGGGAATTGATTTATGATATCGGTCTTTCAAACAAAGCTTTGAAATTTTGACACTTGCTTTCATTTTATTTGTATTGTTCTGCAAAATGAATCCTCAATATGTATATATGCATGCTCTATTTTATGTAAGTGGTTGTTTGCTTGCCTACACCAAGTATGGTACAACCTTTATGCCTGGTGCTGGCAGAAGCACCAGGACAATGTCTTCCTCCCTGCAACTGAAATTATAGGTGGCTATAAACAATGCCAATGATGGGAACCAAGCCCAGGTCCTCTGTAACGGCCCCAATTTCCTTAATCACTAAGGTTTCCCTCTCTGGACTACCATTTTTTTTTAATATGAAAGTATTTTCTATACTTCTATACTCAGACATATTTATTGATTATTGTAGAGACAGTTTGTCAGTTTCTATGTCTGGGGAAACATTGTTTTTGGTTTTTTGCTAACAGTATAAAGTGTTAACTAATGGTTAATCTATTAATCTGCAGTCTTATTTATACTAGCTCATTATATGTGTGTGATGCGTACTCTCAACTCTAAGTAGCATGGCTACAGAGCTTGTTCAGACTGAAACGCATAGTAGGAGGCAAATGTCATCATGGAATTTAGAGTGAAACAGTACAGCAGGATTCTCTGCCACCTACATGATATATATTTGATGAACAGAAGGGACTGAATGGAAAAAGGAAGCCTAGGTAGTGAGATTTTTTTGATTCATAGAAAATAATTTTAATATTAAATAATATTCTGTTTTCACAATGCATTAATTGTGCCCATCATGTATCTTGAGTGGTGTCACCCTGAAAGTGCTGTTCAGAATTCTCTGGATAATATCCTGGTCAGCTACATCCAGGATGTATGTGGTCAATGGTGCCTAATGCCTGCTGTGGAAGGTGAACCTATGGAAAGTTGCTTTCAAAATAACTGCCCTCAACTCAGACTTGCTTAGTCCTATCAGCTCTTTAATTGTCCAGATGGTCTTGCTGAAATTTTTGAATTGTTTTCTATTGCCTAATATTTTCCCCAAAGAATGGATTAGTACTATTTGCCATGGCCATACTGAGGTTTACCAATAAAAATTATGATTTCCTACCTTGTCTTTTTAAGAGTGTTTCATCTCACTAATTCAGATGATAGGAGATTCAAGAATATGAAATTGGCTAGGTTTGAGATTTTTGGTCAAGATTAAATATGTCTTTTAGTACAATTTAGTGCTAGTGAACCACGGTGGGCCTTTAGAGACAGTCCTTTTCATATTTCTAATTTTATTAAGAAAAACCAACATTCATGAACCCAAGACTCAATACATTGACCTAGTATCCTCTTCTTTCCTTCTGTGCAATGCAGGAACGTGTTCCTGATAGTCCCTCACCTGCCCCTTCCCTTGAGGAGGGCCGAAGACCTGGCAGCCACCCATCATCGCACCGCAGCAGCAGCGTGTCCAGCTCCCCTGCACGGACCGAGAGTTCTTCCGACAGAATCCGTAGGTCTCATACTTGGGCTTGTCACCATCTTAAGCTTTATTAGGTGCAGCTGGGCTTTCTAATCAAAATACCCTCATTCCAAATAGATCTCAAATGTGTCATGTACCGAAGCTCCCTCGCAATAGCCATTCCTCAAAATTATGTGTCCCAGTTTGGAATGCCGTGAAGGATGATGCGGCATTAGCAGGTTCTGATATAACATCCTCTCTTTGATACTACACATAAAGATTTGAGCTATGAAATAGAAAATGTAAGTAATCTTCCAGATTAGTTTTTGAAGTACACAGCCAATTCCCAACCATCTAACATCTAAGTAGATCGTTTATGGTTTTCTCAACTGATTGTTTTTAATGAAAAAGCCTCTGCCACTTTTGAAATCATCTGATTTTAACATTCATCATTATTGAATAAAGGTATTCACAAAGACAAACAACAGAAATTAAATTAACCACAGTAAATGTCAAAATATTTGCTCTTCATTTTTAATGATCACTGGATTAAATACTTTTAATTTTAGCAGTTCTACCTGGAATAATAAGTAATACATATCTTCCTGTTATTATTAAAATTTTGAAGTAGGTCTTTGACTTATATAAAAAAAAACCCCTACAATATTAGGTCTTGGATGTGGTTAAATGACAAGTGCTAATAGTATTTAATGCTCTTTCAGTGGACCAGAGTTTGCTTTTTAGTACCAATATCAGGTCATTCACAACCGCCTGTAACTCCAGCTTCAATTTTTAATTTCTACAAGTTTTAATTTCTACACAGAAGTAATTTCTTCTATAAAATCATAGAAAAATGATCAAAATCAAATTTTACTATTATTATATTATTTTAACACTATAGATATTTTCACATTTATTGAATTTTCCAGCTAATATTTTTAAGAGCAAGTTGATTTTCTTATCTGGTGCAAGAATAAACTAAAGATCACATATCACAGTTAGTGTTTTTGTCTCTGTCTAAAAATGTTGAAATTCTTCCAAGGTCCTTCTCATTTCCCCCATTTATTACCTTAACAATGTGGCAAACACACACACATTTGTTTTGTAGAAAGCTCTTTATCTTGAATTATCATGATGCTCCTCATGGTTAAACTCAGCTTTTGAATTTTTCATCAGAACTACAGCTGTGATATAGTATCTCTGGAGAATCCTGAAATGTGAAGGAGAATATATACTGATGACTATATCACTTAAGACTCCAAGCTGTTAACATTTTGAGATATTAAACATCCTGTCAGAAAAAAATATACTAGGATGACGTACTCTGTTGTTCATAAAAGTTCTATCCCTAGCTTGTGACTCACCATTGAAATTTAAAATAATTCAAGGTTGGATGTCAGTGTTAACTCTAACACAATCCAGTGTTATTCATAAGATTCTCTATTTTTCCAGGAAAGAAAGGTTTTATCCAATATATTTTTTACTCAAATTATGCAAAATAAACAATATTTATTTTGTTTGACCAGCTCAGTAAGTGAATTCATTGACTTAGTTTTGTGAATCCTGAGTGTCCCTCATCTGAATCACAGCAGTGTTTTATCATTTCAGTGCTGACAGATCATCACTAGTGGAGAAAGCAATTGGTAGATATTAATTGGATTTGGAGTCTTGAAAACTACTCTTTAGATGAATTTTGAGATTCCTATGGCACACCATATTCTATGAAGTAAAACACAATAAGGATACCGAGATGACGGTTTCAGTTCTTTAAATGCAGAAAACTATACAGGCTGTGAAAGGTCACTGTGGCAGATCACTCATTTGAACCAGAGAGTGTTAAAGGGAACTTTATTGTTGAGATCAGAGTTTTTCAAAATTGGGGGAAGTTATATACTAAGAAGAGAACTTGATGCACAAGAGCATAATATTGAATACCTCATAGGCATTCACTAATGTGAATATTCCACATTATTCTAACCACGGAAAATGTTTTGTTTATATAACAACAGATACAGTACGTGGAGTTATTTCCAGTGTTTTCTGCTTATGCTAAAGGATTACTATGGACTAGCAATCTTCCAGTGGTATTACTAAGGGATTATAATTTCAAAGTTTGGGTAGCATATGTTTATGATTTTTTTTTATCACAATGTTCTGATGTTTTTGTGTCTGTTCCTTGTTTTGGGGTTAACAGCTGTGCATCAGAATGGATTGTCCATGAATCAGATGCTGATGGGTTTATCACCAAATGTGCTTCCTGGGCCAAAGGAGGGAGATTTGGCTGGTCATGACATGGGGCATGAGTCAAAAAGAATTCACATTGAAAAAGGTAATTTGAAATTCTCTGCCATGTCTTTTGTTCTGGAAATGAAACATGTCTATTTCTGCATCTGCAAAATAGCATAAAGGTCCTAAATATATAATGTTAATAAAATATGAGCCCTGATCATTAACGGATGTCTGAATGGTGACCTCTTACTTTCCTGTTGTCCAACGGTAGGTGACAATTTAATTTTCACAGCATTTTTAAAAGAGAATTACATGTCTATCCCAAATGTTAATTTTGAAATTTTAGATTTTTGTTTGTCTTTCTTAATGTACTCAAGGCCATTTTCACTTATGCAGCATGATGGAACTTGAAAAAGTTTACTGAAATTATTTTTTCTGATTTAAAAATACATGATCATTAATTTTTTTAGGATTCTTAAGTGAAACTTGGTGGTCATTTCAAAAGGTGTGGATAGCTTATTCCTTGAATGGCTTGACTGGAGGGCATCAGGATCCGTGTTTGTTCTAAAGGGCACAAATTCTGAGTTCCCTCTTCTTCATTCAGAAAAGAAAATAATTTATTTGTTAAGTTTTTACAGGGTTTAAAATAAGATATTTAAGTACTTAAATAAAAATTCTTTTTAAAGAGAGATTAAGTAATCCTAGGAAAATGCTTTTGAAATATTTTCCTAAAATGGGTTGCAGCTTTACTAAGGCCCCTAGGGAGAAAAAAATGTAAATATTTGCAAAAAACACTGTTAGTTCTTTGGATCATCCATGGGAACGTAGTAGTCATCTCTATGTTTAAATTTACCATTTTAAAGTAAAGATACTATTGAAAAATAGCAACAATAAGAAACATTTTTGGTTATTTTTTGTATACTATTATTGTGGTGTTTTTTTGTTTGTTTGTTTGTTTTTTTGAGACACTTTTTCTCTGTATCTTTGGAGCCTATCCTGGAACTAGCTCTTATAGACCAGGCTGGTCTCAAACTCACAGAGATCTGCCTGCCTCTGCTTCCTGAGTGCTGGGATTAAAGGCGTGAGCCACCACAAAGACTACCTCAACATTAGTGGTCTATAGAGTTCCAGGGCCTCTACATTTCTTACTGTAGTATTTCCATGCATTTCTTCTTCAATATTGGAGAAAATCTGTGTCATATATTGTTTCACTCATATTTAGTAAACAATTATTGCACCACAGATTATAAAAATTGACATAGGACATATTATGGAAAATTAAGTTTTTCAGTAACACTTTAATATAAGAATTAATTAGATAAGCAAAAGAGTCATTTTATGCAAAATCTCAGCAAAAGAGTAAATCTCTACCAAAAATGAGTGGCCATTTTTCATGGATGCTGTTGAGCATCCATGTGAAAAGCTATGAGGGTCTGACTCAGCCAGTGAGAGCGGGCACTACTTCAAAGCCTGATGGTCTGGTTGGATCCCTGGAAACCATATTATTCATGAGAGTTCCAACTCCGGAAGTCTGTCCTCTAACTCATAAATACCTTCCTTGACAAAAAGTATCAAATATGGGAAGTTACCTGATGCTATGAAATGGGTATCAATATATTAGGGCTTAATTTTTCCAGAACATTGGTTTCAAAGGCTGGGCATTAAAATATGACATCTAGAGATGACAATGAAGGGATAGTAAAGACAAAACTAATCTGATATCCACAACATTAAATCCTATGGAAAATCCGATGAAGAATTCTAAAACCTTGTGTTTCATGTTGACAGACATGTCATATCCTTGAGTTACAAGTTTAACCAAACTACGTTTTTTGTTTTTTTTTTTTTGCTATAATCATCATGTTTACTGTCATGGAACATTTTTAAAATGGCATGTGTTGAGCTTGGTCTCTTATTTTTCTTGTATATCCCTGACTCCACAAATTTACTATATTTGCTTTTGTTCCTTTCGAAATTCTTTATTCATTAATACACTTTCTCTTTTGATTGGATAACCTCTGACTAATCTAAACATAATTCTAATTAAACCAAGTTATATAAGCACTGGTACTAATTGAGATTGAATTGCCAGAAATATTAAAGAATAGAAAAGAATGAAACCACGGATGTTGGTTACATTCTTCAAAGTTAATAGTAAGGTGCAAGTCCATATTATCTCTCCTTGGTGCGATGTTTAAATATACAGCATTATGACTATGGATATATATCACACCTTATTAATTTATTACTGTTATTTATCACAGCAGTGGTTTTTAAATTGTTTTTCTCTCAGAAGAAAGACACTGTCCAGGTCACAAGTGTATCTCAATATTGTATATACAAAATTAGATGTTTACCATTCCAACTAGAATATGAATCTACCATTGATTTCAAATCATGGAAATTTTAATAGATGTTGATATAATTACAGTGTCTTGTTTTATGTTGCTCTTTCTCTTGGAAGAAATCTCTATCTCTTTCATCTCCTTCTAGCATACTGAATTAATAGGAAATATTCATGGGTTTTCTAGATTGATAGATTCCCCTAAATTAAATTTTTTTTTTCATTACTCCATTTATCATGTCCCTCACAATAGCCCTGAAACTACTCATATCAGTATTGAACAACTAACTTTATTTAGAAATATGTAGAAAAATTAATTATATATTCATGTCATTTTTGGTTTGAACTTTTTATGTGTAATTTGCTTTCTAACAACTAAATCATTCACAAGGCAATAATTCTTAAGAAAACATTGATACTTTGCATAGATAACAAAATTCATTTTCATGCCTAAAATGATTGTAGTGTGAAGTCTTAATCATCAATAACTTTTAAGCATGCAATGTTTTCCTTAATATTAAAATTCTATTGACTATATTCTATGTGACTAAAAACAAGTTCATTGTCCAGAAGCTTTATAAGTATTTGGGTTTAGAAAGCAAATAACAGACTGGCTGCTCTCATTCATTTTTTTAACTTTTTTCTTTTTTTATTATTTAATTAAAAATTTCCACCTCCTCCCCTCCTCCCATTTCCCTCCTGTTCCCCTCATCTCCCTTCCCCTTCCTTTCCAGTCCAAAGAGCAGTCTGGGTTCCCTGCCCTGTGGGAAGTTCCAGGTCCTCCCCTATCCATCCAGGACTAGGAAGGTGAGCATCCAAACAGACTAGGCTCCCACAAAGTCATTACATGCAGTAGCATCAAAACTCAGTGCCATTGTCCTTGTCTTCTCAGTCAGCCCTGCTTGTCAGCCACATTCAGTGAGTCCAGTTTGATCACATGCTCCCTCATCCAGCTGGCCTTGGTGAGCTCCCATTAGATCAGCCCCAATGTCTCTGTGGGTGGGCGCACCCCTCACAGTCCTTGCTCATGTTCTCCCTCCTTCTGCTCCTCATTTGGACCTTAGGAGCTCAATCCAGTGTTCCAATGTGGGTCTCTTTCTCTAGCTTCATCCATCGCCAGATGAAGTTTCTATGGTGATATGCAAGATATTCATCAGTATGGCTATAGTATAGGGCCATTTCAGGACAAATGCTATGCATTCTCTATCATATATAAATGCTAGCTTTAATATTAAGATGCATGCTTTCAGATTGGAGTGTACAAAGATGCCTGGAAACTGGTAAGGAGGAATGTGGGTAAGATTTCGCGGGAAGGAGGTGGGGGACAGAAAGTATGAAGGAGAAAATAGGAGTACTGGAACAGGAAGGGTTACGTGGTTGGACATGGGAGAGTATGGTAGAGAGGGAGTATAGGAAAGGATTACAAAACTATGACCTAGCCAGAGAAGGATTGGGGCAAGTTAGTACTACCATTCATGGCTTTCATCTCATAGAGTTTTCTTTATATCCAAAGAAAAAGTGGTTGGAAGGGAACAATTACAAATATCATTATGTTTATGTTTCAATGCTCGTGAAAATAATTGTTGTGAAAAAGTGTATTGAGTATTAACAAAAGCATATCAGTGGTAAATAATAGGATGTCTAGGTGAAAGACAAAGATGGGACAGATTTGAATATATTGAAAGTCAAAAGAGAATCGCTTTGATGGGTGGGATTGCTGCCTTTGAACCTTTCATAAATATCATTTATGCAATGAAGTAAAATTGACAGAGGCTGTGTGTTCCAATTATTTATAATTTTGTGTTACTATATGGCTTCTAAAAACATTATTATTATTATTATTATTATTATTATTATTATTATTATTATTATTATTGGCTGCCTCAGGCGAGGTGGAGGTAAAAAGCAATTACTAATACATTACAATGTTATTTCCAAATGTAAGCTTACTTCACTTACGATTTATCAATCATTACAATTACATCATTTTATTTTAGTAAAATTTTTTGAACAGCTTATTGTGTAGATTAATTGACGAATTAGTAATCTATCATTTTTTAATTCAGCAGTTTTGTTAAATAGTGTCTATCTTGGCTGGTTTTGGTTGACACTGCACGAGCTGATGTGCAAGTGATCTACAAAAGCTTTGTAACACTTTACGTGTATACATTTTAGAATCACTCCACACTGCAGTTTCATTTTGGAAACACTGAATTAATTAACCTTGCTTTGTAGAGCTCAATTTTTATTTTTTTAAATTTAGTAAATGAGCAGATAGCTTTCTCTCAATAGAAACAATATGTTTTCTATTTTTCTCTGATTAAATTCATTAGAAACATGCCAAAATTGTCATTATAAGTTTAGCCATCCCAAAAGATATCCTAGTTGTTGTTAACCTAATACAATAACATAACCCAAGTGCTGAGTTTCCAAAGAGAATAAGTTACTTTGTGTGCTATTGCTACTTTTATAGAAAAATGATAGGAATCTACGTCATGCATTTCAATGTGATGTGTTTCAAGTTCTGACTTGAGACAGAAATTACAAATTTGGCACATGATTACATAATGAAAAGTTGACTTCTCGAAAGTCAAATTGACTATGTTTGCTCATGGCTGATTTCCATTAAATCCAGATAAATGTCTTCTATTTTATCAAGACACAGAATCTTACTCTGTAGCTTGGGATAGCATGAAACTTAATGTTTGGTTCAGGCTGGCCTCCAACCTGGAATCATTATTTTTACCTAGACTTCC